AAGACAATGAAGAAGATACATGTATAAAAAAACTGATCGCAAATGTTAATTATGGACTTTTAGAAAAAGGGGGAGCAACTGATCAGAAAAGCACAGTGTTTAAAAATCTTAAGGAAGCTTTAAACTATCAGGCAGAGTATGGAGGTAAAATGCATAAATTAACACATTTCACGACAGAACAAATTACAGTAGATGAAGAACAATATACAGCAGAAGAAGAACAGGCGTCGTATTATATACTTAATCTAAAGGATACATCGCGCTTAAGGAATGGTTTTAGGTATGTAAAAGAATTACTACTTCAATATCATAATTTTAGAATGTATCAAGATTATTCTAAATTATATCAAAATGGCATTAATGTGTTCAGTGTCAAAACAGATGCATTTGTAATACAGCGATCGGATATAACAAAAGCAAGAGAGCTTTTAATCTTTAATAATGAAATAGGAGGATGGAGAATTTCAAACGACGAATATATTAAATTTCCTACTGTAGATTATGAAATTACACAAAACGAATTAATACAAATACCAGTTTATGAAAGTAAAACTATTGATATTGTAGATGAATATGACACAGATAATATTATTGAAATTATTGAACAAAATAATCCTATTATGATTCGTGGAGCACTACCAGGCACAGGAAAATCATATATATGTCAAAAAATGGTTGATAAAAATTATAATGTAATTTTTATTTGTCCTACTAATAAACTATTACAGGCATTCGAAGGCGAGGCAATGACAATAAATAAATTTTTCGGTATTAATTATGGAGATGCTAAATTAGAACCATTTGATTTTACAGATTTTGATGTTATAGTATTTGACGAAGTTTATTTTAGTAATTTAAATATATATTGGAGAATAAAACAATTTGTAGAACAGAATAAGCACAACAAAATTATAATAGCAACAGGAGACACTAAGCAATTAAAACCAGTTCAAGAGATAACAAATACTCGAGACTATGAAGTATATACTGATAACATTATAGATAACATTTTTGAATATAATATTTTGTTAAAAGAATGTAAGCGACTTAACACACAGGAAGATAAAGATAAACTAAGAAATATTAAAATTGATATTTTTGAAAATAAATTACCTATTATGAAAGTTATTGAAAAATACTTTGAATATACAACTGACATAAGCAAATCTATCAACAACATAGCATTTTTAAATACAACTTGTAAAAATGTATCAAATGAAATTAGAAAATTAGAAAATAAAAAGGACGAATATGAAGTAGGAGAATTTTTAATTTGTAGAGAATATACAACAACTAAAACATCAGTTTTTAATGTAAATTTCAAATATAAAATTGTTCATATTGGAAGCGATGGAATTTTTACTTTAAAGAATGTTAAAACTGAAATTCTACAGTCTTTGTCAGTTGATAAAATAAGAAGTAATTTTATATTTGCATATTGTTCGACTTGTCATTCTGCCCAAGGCAGTAGCATTGATGATACCATAACAATTTTTGATTATAACCATTTTTTGGTAAAGAATTATCCAGAATGGATATGGACAGCAATTACAAGGTGTAGAGATTTAAACAAAGTCAAATTTTATAAATATACGAAAGATATTGATGATGTATTTAATCAAAAATGTATTATGAGTTATTTTGAAAGGAAAATATTAAATTACAAAGAACAAGACAGGAAAGCCAAAAGAACAATACCTAAAGAAGGTTATGTAAATGCGCAATGGTTTTTAAATAATATCACTAATCAATGTAATTACTGCGGATGCGGTTTTTCTATGGATATTAAAAACGGTAATATAATGACAAATCTGACAGCGCAACGTAAATCAAACGAGTTGTCGCACGAACTGAATAATATTATTCCTTACTGTGTTAGGTGCAATTGTAGCTGTAAATGATAATAATTTAAATAATATTTTAATATTTCTTGTAAAATGTATTTAAAGAAATAAAAACTATATATATTATAATAGAAATGGTTGAATTTACAGAGAAAGAGCAAGAAGAGATTATTAATAAATTCTTGGATGACTTAAACAAAAATGAAACAGAAAAGATTCTCAAACACGAACTATCCAAACATAATTACAATTCATCACTATTACTTTATTTGAAGTTGCCATTCAATGCCATTAGGTTAATCAAAGAATATGGAGAACGTAAATGCAAATGCGATAACTGCATTCATTTGAACCAGACAATTGACCACGCGAATAGATATTTTAGTGATGTCTCTACAGTATACTATTTTAATGAGTTATATAAATTCCCAAAGGAAGAAGAATTAAAGCTACAGTTTAATTTGGCACCAAGCAGGTTTAAGAAATACAGATCTGGATTTAACAGTCGTTTACATGACCCTACGCGTTTAAAACATTTTGTACCATCAAGTAAACTGAAAGAATTTAATGACATACTAAAATACATTCATGAACATAATTTTACCAAATATGAACATATCAAATTAAATTATTATCCTGAAATTAACCTATAACCATGCTATGATTATAACATGTAAAATATTATATGTTATAATTATATTTCAATATTTAATTTTATTTCTTGTAAAAAAGTATTTAAAGAAATAAACACTATATATATTATAATAGCAATGGTTGAAACCGAAATCAATAATTATATCAATAAGAAATGCTACGATTGTTGCCACTTTAAAAAAGAAAATATGGAATTATATAAATTGAATTTACCTAATGGAATAGTTAATAGTATTATTGATTATTCTTTGGACGAAGAAAATATATGTAGAACTTGTAGAAGATGGAGACGATATCAAAATATAATAGAAAATTGTTTGGCGTTTAAAAATATAGATGAAAGAAATGTTGAAGATGAAATATTGATATTTTTAACTGTGTATGAAAGACCACCTTACGATTATGTTAAACAGTTTCTTAAAATCAGTAAGAAAAAGTGTGAAATGATTAATGACATATTATGGATGTTGATTTATTATAGTAAACCCGGCGTTGATGTAAACAAAGTCATAACATCATATATTGAAAGCAAAAAGTTTAATGTGAAAAATACAGTGAGAGATATTAATCTTATTTTTAAAATGATGTATGAAAGAAGTAAAACATATCAATTAAATAGTTATCCTGAACTGAAATTATAATCATAATATAATAATAACATGTAAAATATTATATGTTATAATTATATTTCAATATGTAATTTTATTTCTTGTAAAAAAGTATTTAAAGAAATAAAAATAATATATATTATAATAGAAATGTTATTTAATTATTCAAAGTGCGAATGTTGTACAACTAAAAGGAATGATGTTAATACAACATTGTATAAGTTATTACCTGCTAATCTATGTAATAAAATAAGTGAATATGATGTATATTGTAATCAATGCTGTATAACAAGAGACCTTGAAAAGTTTTTTGTTGAAGAACATAAGGATAAGGGATATACAAAGTTTCAATTACAATTGCAATTCTTTATGAAATATCAAAAACGATGTCCTGTATGTTTTTACCATAAAATTGCTAGAAAGTCATTTGAAAAAGAAATTAATGAGTTCTTTAATAATAAAGATTTAATTAAGAGGTTTGGAGGGACAAACGCAATTAAACCATATAAAGCATTTGTTAAAAAATTTCGACGCATGTTTGATGCGATTGATTGGCATTTATTAAGTAAAGATAAAATAAACGAGGTCTTGAATGAATTTAGAATAACTAAATATCATGTATGGTCTTACTACAACACTAAATATCAAGTATGGCTACTAGTTAATTTGTTTTTCTGGGAATATATTTATTCAATAATAGGAAAAGACAATATCAAATATATAGACATTGGTGATATTGATAAATATGTAGATTACATATTTGAAGACATTTTTCCTGACTATAAATGTAACCCATAATTATTAATCATACTATAATAATAACATTTATACCCTTATATGTTATAATTATAATGTCAGTATAGCGTTTTATATATTGAAGATAAAATCCTACAAGGTGGGCCATGCGCAACTCCGGAATATCCAAATTTTGAAAAATGATTAATTATTAAGTCTCCTCATTGAATTATTGAAAATGTTGTTTCTTATTGAATAATTCTTCTTAAACTGCTATATATATTTATCTCTTTTGAAAAAATATATTTTCTGAAATATTTTGGAAAATATGTGTTTTTGAAAATGAAAATGTTTAGGTGTATTGAGTTTTTCAAAAAATAATTCAATTTTTGTTTTGGTATGCAGTACTAAAAAAATATTTATCAAAATGTGTTTAGACTGTTTCAAAAAATGTTTTAAAATGGCTGTTTTGGGGCGCTTATTCAAAAAATGCAAAAAATCCTAGGGTGGACCCTAGACTTTTGAGTCCGAAAAAAGTTGCGCATGGCCTGCCCTAACTTGAACCGGTATATTGTTCTCGCAACTCGTAGCTGTATACACCAAGTTATGTTTCTTGCCCACAAATGTACATTATAAATAAGCCTCTGAAAGAGGAAATGCATTGTCTACCAACTCTATTTCGAAACTGTCCATTTAATTCATCTTTCATTCATGATAAACCCGCCATCCCCGGCCAAGTTGCTCTAAGAGACAGTTCGGATTTTGGGCAAAATCCCTATCCCCGCCGGGAGTGGCAAGAGCAAAAGGATGTGGTTCCCAAATACCCAAGACCAAACGACTCCTTTCATCAAGCTTCGATTGTCGGGCGATCCGCTTCCGATTGACCCGGCCGGCGATAAACAGAGGCAAACCGCTCCCGGTCATTGCCCCAGTGGATGGTCTCACCCGTGATATCTAGTTTCCAACAAGCATGGAAGCTGACAAGGACAGCACAATGGTCCACTTCCTAGATTGTTCCAAGAAGGCCCTCTGAATCTCAGCTACGAACTACTACTACAGAAAATCAGCCATGTTGCTTTTGGTGCTCAAGGTGTGTTTCCCGTGGTTACCTACCATACATCGAAATGGAATTTCTGGGAAGTACATGCGACAAGTCGATTCATTCAAAGTTCAAGGCGGGCTCATCTGGTCAATGGCAAGGCAGGCCCCAAAGTGTTCTCTGCCAACCCCAAGTTAGTGGGCGCTTTGCCACACACCAAAATAACATTTGAAGGGAGAGGCCCAACATAAACTGCAGTCCACAACACCAACAATTCCTTATGAATGTGAGCGGCAGTTGGATGTCCCTCTACGGAGAGGGGGTGGGTCTATTCAATGGAAGCTTAACACATCCTTATGGCTGCGAAAAGAAGGTCTGTCCAAGCTTGAAAAGCCCCCACGAAGATTGACGTTGATGAACTCAGCTGGGTTGGTATGCACAGTTGTCACTTCTTGGTAAGCCAAACAAAAACAAACAAAACAAAACCCTCTTCGGTCGAATTGACAAACGCCGCTTTGATGAACCCCGAGTCGCTCTGGAGGATGCACATATTCAGTTAGAAGTTGACTATGCGTACTGCTATGTTTACAAGACTAAAATTACAAAAGATCAACTCAGAGTAGAACATAGGTGTGTCTTTTGCTAAACATGCCCTTTTCGGTCAAGGGAAACCACATCGGGAAGCCCACTCGTTTTGGTGGCTTCCCCCCCATTAAAACAATTAAAGGCAACACATCGACTGCACATGTCCCCCCTTCGGTCGATTCCCCAAACATTCCAAGGAACAGTGATTTGGGGAAGCACTGCAGCACCAGGACAAACAGCGGGGAAGACAGGAAGAACACCGAAACTACCATGTGCTTACCTAGGTCCTCCAGTAGAGAGGTTAGAATAAGGGTTCCCGATTGTTTTTTCTGTCTATTTTAGTAGAACCCTCCCCCAAAAAAGAAACGGTAAAAGGGCACTACTATGTACTACTGGCTCCATCTTAGGCCAATTTGGATCCTTTTCCAAGCCCAATGGATCCCAGAGCCTGCGGGAACCCAGGCCACTTCGGTAGCCTTGGACAAATGAACCCAAAGGCCTGATGTTCATACCCCTCTGCCCAAAATACTTGGTTGACGTTGGAAGGGGAGCAACAAAAATAATTCTTAGCAGTTAAGTGGGGATTTTTTTCCACTGAACCACAATAAGCAAAAATGTAAAATGTGTCCCAACAACAACCATGAAAAGGGGTATATACCCCATAAATAAAGTGGGTTGGAGACCAGGGAAGCCAAGGGGTACGTATGAACAAGGGGTGTGCACTGCCACCATTAGACTGTTTAGTCTTCGAAGGGATCCCTTGGCCACCTAGGAAATGGTGAAGCTTGGCGCCGACAGAAACCACATGAAGTCATGATGAGGGGTAGGCCATGAGTTTTTAGACTCTTACACCACTAGGTCCTCCAGCAGAGAGGTTAGAATATGGGTACTCTTTTTTCTGCAGTCGATTTTCGTGGAACCCTCCCCCCAAAAAAAGGGGCAAAAGGGCACCTAGCTGGGGACCTAGACCATCCACCAAACCAAACAGACCCGGCCTGCGGAAACCAAAATCCCCCCCCCCGCCCTTCGCTGCCGGAAGCCTCGCCAGCGGAAGCCCCAGCGCTCCACGTAGTCGCGCACAACACGCCGGCTCAGCCACCGCGCCTCCTCCTGGTTTTATAAGACTTGGATTGGGAGTCGGGTTGTGGGTCATGTACTTTGAAACCAAGTTTGGTTTCTTTTGTTTAGGGGGAAACACTCAGATGTTGGATGAGAACAATACAGATTGACCATTTGTGTGGTGTTTCCATCTCATTCGATGGGCACACTCTTGGTAGGTGGTTCGGTCTCTGATCATTTGACGCGGGGTCTAAGGGGCACAATGCCCTACATGGCGTGTTTATTACGGCCTATATGGGTGTGACTTCAACCGGGGACCGTTTGGTGTGCATTGTTTAGGAGAGAAAGAACATGTCCACCAACCGCTGTTGCAAGTGGGTTCCCCATGAAAAATCACCTGGGGTGCGGTCAAACCCAGCGGCTCGCCGTGGTTTATCCCCTTTAGAACGGCTCCTTGGCCAAGGTGAGGGATGTGGAGGGCCCGAAGACCGGCACCAGGTCGATTCCCAAGGACCTCAAGCCCAGGGCAAGCACGAGGAAACCAGCGGCTAGGCGAAGTTCGCTGGTGGGCAATGGTCATTTTGCTGGTGTGGCTTAAGGCTGGGAAACCCTTTTGGTTGTACAGGACAATTGATCACTTCGAATCTCACAGAACTTTCCCTAGGACCTCCTAAAGGCTGGGAAACTCCCTGGTTGCGTGTGCATGAAAATGGATCACTGTGAATCTCACAGAACTTTCCCAGGACCTCCCCCCCCAAACACAACAACTTTGACACGTGATGATCTCTCCAGAAGAGGTGTGTTTGCGTGTCGGGGGTGGCGGTGGTGGAGGTGGTGGAGGAGGTGGTGGTGGTGCTGGTGGCGGCGGTGGGTCGGAGGGTCCCCCAGGAGGTGTGGCAATCGGTCAACAATAAAGCAGGAACAGCTTGAATTCCATTCCCCTATTTACGTACCCAAAATGATCATGTCGCACCTACAAGCCAACTAGAAGGTCGGTCTGGGGGTATGTTAATGTATCCTGGATGATTTTTGCTAAGCTCTTTTGTTGCTACTAATTTTGGGCATGTCCATTAGAGATACTAAATGGTTCACGTATTCGTTCGCAGCTTGCACGTATTCAAGTCTTTCGGGAGGTCCGAATTTGAGGACTGGGCATTCTCTGAATGCAAGAACAACAAATCGCACCAATAGCCACGTAAATACAGGAACAAACCAAATGGATGAGGAAAACCATCTCCTTTGAAAGCAAGCGACTGGAGTCAGGCTCGGTAAAAATATCCCGTCGATTTCGAAGTTCTCTTAGACTCCGATGTGACTTTGTCAGGGTCCATGAAAAGCCTTAAGGAGTCTATTGTCAGACAACATAGCTGCAAAGGAGTGCTTCATGCTGGTCAAGGGCCAGCTCATGTACTCTAGCTCTGGCCTTGTCAAATGCAAAACGGTAGGCTTGGATGGCAGGTCAAGCTTCCAACCTAAAAGGCTTTCTAAAAGGTGTGTCTTTTGAAGGAAGCCCCCAAAACGGCGGTTTTCAACTTTTGTTTCCCTCAAGCTTTGTTAAAAACCAACCAACAAGGGGAACCCCTCAAACAAACACGCCCAAAAAACACAAGGCATTGCCCCTGCCTGTCAGAAGCGACGCAAGCCTTCCTGATCCATAGTGTCCATCCGTTTAGGGGGTGGTTGGGCGGTACCCCCTGCATTGCCTCAATTGGATACGAATTGAAGCCCACAAAGAATCAGAGAGAAGTTTAAGAGGGACCTAAAGGGAAGAGGAGTCCTTCGAGTTGAGTCACAACCACAACTTATTTCTTGGCGGGTAAAGCCAGACTCGTATGGCTTCAGAATCAACACCGCCAAGAGACATGGAGAGGACCTGCTTTTGAAGCTTCTCGAGCTCCACCCGCTCTGCTGCTGCGTGCTGATCGATGACCAGAAAGCCACCGCCCGGGTAATACCCGTCCTTGTCACCGGTCCTGTCACCGCTTGACCCCCGAGCTGGTGCGCGCGCTTGTGTGTGGTTGTGCCTCGTTGGTCTGCGTCTCTCTCTGTGCAACCGTCTGTGTCTGCGTGTCTCTGCGTCTGTGTGCCTCAGTGCTTCTCTGTGCGTATCTGGTCAAAACTCCCATCCCTTCCCTCACTCTGGGCGCCCAGCGCAGCCGGGACGCCGAGTCCGTCGAAAAAACGGTCTGTGCCGTGACCGCATGGCGGTGGCCTAGCTCAAGAGGAACCGCGCCGCAGCAAGGACATAATGTCCCGTGGCTGCGGCCTGCCCGCCTGCCAGCCTGGTGGGCGGGGGCAGTCAACAAAAAAATCAGCGCGAATTGCCGCAGGAGACCATCCACGGGGATGATCACTGGCGTGCCAAGAGAAAGCTGCCTGTGTTCAAATCCGAGCTTAAGCCAGTCCTGGCTCTGTCCATGAAGGCTGAACATGAGGTCAAGAGCAAGCTTCCACAGGATCACCCACTTCACGTGGCCATTGATAGGGAACAACGGCCAAGCGCGTCGTCTGTACTGCTGGAAACGCCACTTGTCGCCAGAGTGGCACAGAGACTTGTGCTGCTTGTCGTCAAGGGGCTCCCCAGTTTAAACATGCGTGCCAATGCCGATGCACTTGTCCACGAGTACCCTCCGGTCACGAGGAGGATGGTGGTCACGAGGTACCGCCAGCGATGGGACAGTTTCCTATCGCTCTTACTGGCGTCTGGTGCATACGCGGCACGAAGCAGCAAGTCACCCTCGATCCTTGAGCTTCTGCACGCCTCCCTTTGTGTCCGGAAGCTCCATCGCGGCCGTGATGGTTCTGACGAGGATCATCGGTTCCTCGTAGTCGTCTGGTGCTTTTGATATCACCGATTTCGAATGTACCTGTTTCAGGCCGTCGGATGTCAGCATTCGGTGTGCCCATGCGCCGTCTGCCTGTTTGATGGCTGCTGTCCAGGCCCACAGGATCACAGTGTCCCCATAGGCTGTAAACCTGGGGCGCTCGTCCGGGGACTTCAAGTCAAAGCCAGCGTCAATTGCAGAGGAGATGGCTGCTGTTTGCCTCGAGGAGACTCCGAAACCGCTTCCAATCGGTGGAAGACGGCGCGTCTTGCCGTCGTAGAGTGCGTTAAAGGTGGTCATCCTCTTCCTTGCAGCGCGCTCCATGCAAGACCCCATCGCACTGAGTTGGCCGTTAAACTCCAGCACGGCTCTGATTCCTTCGAGTGGCAGGCTGTAGACGTCTTATTTCGGCTTGACCAATGCCGTGTTGTGCCCGAGATACTTTTCGCCCAAAGGGCCCTTTCCTTTGAAGGAGGATGTCACGGTTCCTGGCGGAAGGTCAAGGTCGGCATAAAGGACATCCGAAATGTCCGAAAGCTCCTCGTGGCACTCCTGTTTATCGTGTGGCCCTGAAGTCCAGGCCCGCTGGACTTTCGCCACCTGAATCCGAGGCATGCGAAGAGGCCACGGAACGCCCTCGGCCAGCCCCTCGGAGCGGCAGCCTGCGTGGGAGTTGGTGCAACGTGAAGCTCTGATGCGGGGCTGCAGACTGTTTCTTCCGAATGCGTTTCAGAGCGGGTGGGCCCATGGCATCGGCCTGGGGTGCGCCAGCGGCAGGAGTTCCTGGTGCGGCAAGCGAAGTTGCAGGGGTGCTTGGCGCGGAGGATGTCACCACTGACCCCGGAGCTGGCGCTCCGAGTGCAGCGTCAACTTCCTCTGCACCCGGCACAACTGACTTGGCCGTCCTCTCGGTCTTGCCTCCAGCAGGCTTGTTGAGGATCCTGAGCATGGTCCGATGAGGACCGTCCGGAGAGAACAGGCCCGCCGTGAACGGCGCATACGCCGCCGCCGAATGGCCCCTTCCTTTGGCGCTGAGCGCCTGTGACGCACTCCATGAAGCTGCTCACCACGTCGCCAACTCTGCGGTTGACTTCGGCATCCATGCCCAAGTAGGGTTTGAACGCCTCGTCGGTGTCCGGCAAATCTGGGTCTGACGATGCAGTTACCCAACGTTTCAGCAACAGGTGCGAGTTTCCATTCGTCCTGGTGCAGACGTTCGCTGAGTAGTATGGCACCAAGTACTCAGACCTTCCTGCCGACGCAGTGAGCCCCGCAGATATCAGCGCTTTGTTGGGGCGCCCGAACCCCAACCTGTTGACCGTCTTGAAGTAATCGGTGGTGCTGCGTAGCGCTTTGAGGTCCGCTGTCGCTCATCGGTTTGAGGATGTTCGCCTCGTAGGCGGCTGCCTCCGCCGCCTGGTAAGCGGCCTTGGGCGCTGTGGTGATTGCCGGTGGTGGAGGGTTCCAACACAAATAAAATGATGGAGGCACTCCGGCCCTCCCAACTCCTGCAGCTTTATTCGCACCTCTGAACATAGAATATGCATGAGCATAGTTACTATGATTCTTGCTGAAGAATGAGGCCGCGATGCGGCGGGCACTGGTGCCCCAGCCGCAAGTCTGCCCTGCTAGGCGTTCGTACGCCATCCTTGCATTGGTCCCATCGGGTGGCACGGGCACGGCTTCGCTGCGGATGCCAGTATTGAAAAGGTGAGTGGCAGGTTCACCTTCCTTCGCGCCGAGAGGTGGGATTGGTGTCCCTCCTGAAGCATCAGAGGCAGCGCTATGAATTGGCGCGCCAGCTCGGCCATACCCCACAAAGGAGTCGCGAAGGTTAAACGATCCATACCACTCCGCCATTCGGCGGAGGGCAGAGGGAGCTTCTCCCTATAGACAGCGCGTCAAAAGTGGAGGAAATGCAGAGAAAGTGCAGTCGAGGTAGATTGGCCTCCGAAGAGGCAGTGGGTCCGTCTAGGTTCGATCATAAATGGCAGAGGATATAAACAACATTTTTTTCAACAGTACGCAAGGCAATACAGTGCCATCCTCAAAGCTGTGTGGCTCAACTTGTTATAACTAACAAGTTGAGACACTCAACAAGCAAGGGACACTAGAGCTCCGCGTACCAGACAATCGTAGATGAAGAAAATGTAGGAGAAAGGGCGCGTCCGCGCCCGTGAACACGGTGGTCAAAACTCCCATCCCTGTATCGGATACCGTGCAATGGTGGTCCAAATTGCCTAAGTGGTGCCCTTCCGTCAATTCCTTTAAGTTTCAGCCTTGCGACCATACTAGACCCTCGTACAGTGCTGAAGAAGTCGTGCAAATTAACAACCTCCAGTTGGCACTTTTTTGGGGCCCCCCAGAACAGTGGCTTTCCTTTGGGTTCCCCTTTTAAGCCACTGAAAATGGAACTCTAATAACTCAGACGCACACACACACACACACATTCAGACACACATTCACACACACACACACATTCACACACACACATTCACACACACATTCACACACACACACATTCACACACACAATGCCAAGAAAAATTGCCGCTCTCCTGGCGACAATGAACTTGTCCTGGATCTGGACCAGAGCAGAAGCCGCCTGCGGGCATATAAGCCCCCAATTTGTGGCCATGACCATTTGGGGGTTCTCACAGTGGCTTGTCGCCTTTAGCCCTTTGACATTGAAAGACAAGCCAAAAGGAAGCCCAGCAGCTTGGGGGTTTCCCTAATTAGTTTGAAAAACCCACATTTTAGTCACAATCAAAACCCGGTACTAAAATGGTCTACCCGGAACCATGTAAGGAAGAAAGAAGGCGGCCGCAGCTATTTATGGCTGGGATTGTCCCATACCAACCTTCATCTACCCGGGCTTTGCTAGTGGACCTCATATGGACGTTGGAAGGGGAGCAAACATTTGAACTTTAGCAATTAAGTGGGGATTTCCCACTAAACCACAATAAGCAAACATGCATTTGTTTCCCAACAACAACAATTTGTGGATCCATTTGGACCGCACCTGTAGGTCGATTGCTCTCAGCGCTGAAGGCGTCGCTGTCACCGGCTCCGGCGGCGGTTTCGAGGGTCTCGACCGGGCAGAGAGGCGACTGGCCTTGCAGGTCACGATGGTCGGCACGCCTAAGCGCAGAGTTCGTGTTGGGTGTGTAATGCAAGGGGCTACACCAGTATGTCATGGCTAACCGCAAATTACCTCTACAAGTATGACTGAACTGGGCTGCAAAATACCCCACCCCACAACCCATTGCATTTGTTTAGGCCCTTATGCTCTTTGAGGGTGCCCTTTCAGGTAGGAAACCCATCAGCCACCGTTTTTGGGCTCACCCCAAGTTCCTTCGAACATGATCCCACCCAAGGGAAAATCAATAAACATTGGGTCGTATCTCTCGAGCAGTCTGGTAAACAAGCACTTGCAGAACATATCAAGCCCGAGTATATTAGCTATATAAACACGGACCCTTCTTTGCAACCCCAACAAAAATCAACAGAACAACAGAAGCAAACAGGTGAACCAACTACCAAGAACCATAAAGGACCTGGAGAGCTTGTCTGGATGGACCCACAAAAAGCTGTCACTGAGGTCCGCGAAATCGCTGAACAACTCAAGGCGGTTTTGCCCAGCCGCCAAGATCGACCAAGGCCCCAACTGGTAGCAGGGCATATTATCCTTCTGTATCAACATCACACCTCGCAAAGTGGTGCAGCCACCTCCCTCTAAGGCCAGGGACCCCGAGACATCGCCTGGCACGATCCATCCCAGCAGTAGAGACGATGACTGCAAACCGGGATACACTGCAGACTCCGGCTCACCCGGGTGTTCGCCGCCGCCCGTTCAGCGGGTAGATCAATCGCCGGCGGGCTTTGAGACGGATCGTCCTTCCAAGCGTCATAATATGGGTCTCAAAATCTTAGCCCAACCAAGAAAGTTGGATTCCTTTGGGTCTCCCTTTTCAACCCCCCCCCCACTTTGTGGGGGGAGTTACAAAATCAACATGCTCATAGATCTGCGAAACAATGCCCGATGGACACCAACCAAAGCACCCAAACGGGTTCAGGGCGTAAGGCAACGGTTGGGACACGCTTGCGGGTGTGGTGGACCTCATATGACTCGTAATCAAAAGCTGGTATCCAAATGGCCTACCCGAAACAATAGCTAAACAAATGAAAAAGGCGGCCGCACCCATTTATGTGTTAGTTTTTTGAATTCCTTCATCTACCCGAGTTTTGCTAGTGGACCTCATATGGACGGACAAAACTACCAGTTTCCCCAAAATGGACATAGTTCGGTTTGTCATTTACTGATGAGGTCATCACAAACCGATGCCCCAATCTGCAAAATGAACTCTGGCAAAACACAACACCACATACCCAATGTCTGTTGCTAGCGACAGTCAAAAACCTTCACACCAGGATAACTCATTGGTCCTTTTCTGGTCGACCCCAGTTCAGATATTGATTGAGGGTCCCTTATTTTCCATTGCAAGCCCTTCCCGTTTTGGCCGTGTCGTCAAATGGGAGGAACTGGACGGTTTCCCTTTGGCTTCCCTAAGCAAGACCAAGAAGCTTCGAAAAGAGAAACACATCCTTGCTTGAGTGAATGTCGTTTGCCTGCAAACATGGCTCCCAAACAAATGAAAGTCCAGCAACTCAGGGGCCCATGTAGTTGTGTGACCCGAGTGGGGATACAAAATGGGTTCAGAATCGGAGTGTCTTTTGAAGCAAGCGATACTGCAAAAACTCTTTTTTGGAACCTTTTGGAACCCATTGAACGGTCCCTCGACCAAGCCTTACGAAGTGAAACAAAACGTTCAGCTCGTTGTCCAACCAGGCTAGGAAAAAAATATAATCAGTTGAAGGTCTTTCTGCCGAAGCCTTCATTCTTTCTGCATGGTTCTTCAGTAAATACCAGGAGTAATTCGTATACGTGCCATCACAAGCCATCCCTCACGGGGTGAGACAAGGAAGCTTCCTCGCGTCTCTAAGGTCGAACCTGCCAGGCTGTCCCAGATCCCAATCAATGACAAGCCTCTGAAAAAGAAACCCTTCTCCTTGTATTTTTCAGCGTGGCTCCCACAGGGTATAGTCACACAAGTTGCTTCCTGCCTTTCAGGCCTTTCAGAGAAGGATTGTCTATTAGACAAGCGAAACTGGGAACCTGCATACTTGTTGGCTCATAACATGTTTTTTGGAATAGCAAATGCAAATGCAAACAAATGGCACACAGGCTGAACCGCGAGCTGCCCATTGTCATCCACCTGCAGTGGGACAAAGCGGCAGCCGTTCTTGATAGTATTAGTCAAATCGGGAACTCCCGCAAACAAAACAGCAACTAACCAGGGGCACTGGATTTCGCCTTCAAAAGTTGCAATCTTTCCTGGTGGTGCCCACAACATCTGCCACTTTTGGGATGTTCCAGAAAGAAAGGGAAAACGCAATGAACTCTGCCAAAAAGCCCAAAAGTTTGGGGGTCCTCAAACATGGTAGGGCACCTTGACGGTCGGGGATCTCTATTGAACGGTTCAGGGACGTCTGTATTGGGGAGTCCTGATCCGTGGGGTCTCCGTGCTTTGACACCAAACAGATCCAAAACAAGTTGGAAAAAAGTGGAATGCCCCGCTGGCCTGGGAAACCACGGAGCACCATGCCTTCCCCACGGAGTCTTCCAAATGGTGGGCGCCCCTCGAAAAAATTAACAAGCTGTGACTTGAACGGGTTTTCCTCGTCAAGCCGTGCTTGCCTGGCGCGTGGGAATGAAGCTTGGCTTCGAGAAGAACATAGATCACCTGCGTTTCCCTGCGCTGATCTGGCTCTCCGCTCTCCGGGCCGGGTTTCGAGACACCCAAGCCAAACGGGAGTGGCTCGAACGGGTCCTCTGGCTCTTTGTGCCGGGTTTCGAGACACCCAAGTGTGAAACGCATGCGAGCGCAGCAGCTTTGTGTCACAGAAGCAACGGAGAGATCGCCACGGTGATAAGGCCACTGAATGTCCAGAATGGTACAGATGTGGCGCCAACACTGGCAGCCACTGACACACTCAGGCTCGAGGTCGTGGTCGTCCCAGGATTTAAAGGGTTCCCAGCCCCTCCATCTGGGAGGTTGGGAGGAATGTCAGGCGTAGCATTGAAGTCGCAAATCAGATTCTCCAGTTCCTCCTGGTTCAAATCACTTTGCTGCTGCCCTGTATTTTTTGTTACCGAATAGAACATGGATTCCAATCACTTCCATGCAGTGGCTGGTTATCCACCTGGTTTCACGGAGTCCGTTGTACCAAAGAGTTACCGTTTAAAAAAAATCCAGCAGGGGTGATTCGTCGCAACGTTCCACTCCTCAGTCGGAACAAAGGTTCGGAAGCTCTGCGCTGGCGTGTCGGCCGTGCAGTTGCCCGTGCCCACCACGCAGGTCTGCTGTGGCTGAGTGGAAGAGTCCCCGCAATTGGCACCCACCAAGGAGCTCTGGCAGTCACCTTTGGGAGGCACAAGGTAGTAGCACCTGCCGTCCCAAAAGGAACGTCATGCCCGAAACATCGCAAAACCAACTTGGAGGGAAAGTTGACCAAAGCCCCCAGTTTGGTTTGAGGGTGCCTGTCACCATCTCTCATACCCAATACCATCAGGTCAGCTGGAGAAACATGTTCAAGATGTCTAGAATCAACAGCCTCCTTGTGGAGAAAAGCCGTACATGGAGCCCCTGCTCTTCAATCTTGGACAGAACCGTGGAGTCAAGCTTCAGGCACAGGTCCACGATGTTGTCTGGGTCCCAAATGTCGCCCATCCCAATGTACTCGGTCTCAGACAGCACGCGCTCGCCCACCCGCAGCTGCCACATGCCTTTGTGGCCTGGTTTGTGGTGAGGATGCTCGGGAAGATGGGTGTCCCCCTCATAGGTCACCAGGACGCCACCATTCATTACTACCTGAACAGGCTTTCCTAAAATCAGAACTTATCCGATTCTTTGCTCAACAGTGCATTTATTAGCAAGGGAAGTTTAGAAGGCACTTCCGTGGTACGGAAACCAATGGAAGGATAGCCGAGGATTAGAAAGATACTTGAAATATATTAGACAGAGACTTGAAATATATTAGAAAGTGCAGATTTCGTGGCAGGGGCAGCATTCCAGCATCTTGTCAGAGTGCGCTAAAAGATAGAGAATGCGCAAAAACGTGGCAGGGTGCAGGAAGTCGCTGCCGAAGATGTGCGAAAGGTACCTCTGCCGCGGCGCCTGTTCGGGACTGTCTCGGGACGGTCTCGGGACGGGCTCGGACGGGGGTCCATTGTAACAGCAACGCGGACGTTTCGCACTGTTAGAATTTCGTGGCAGGCGCAGCACTTTGGCGAGCCGAGGTATAGATTTCGTGGCAGGCGCAACACTTTCGCAAGGCCAAGAATAGATTTCATGGCAAGCGCGGCATGTCACAGCGCTGGCACGGACGCATCGCAAATCCCATGAGCACACGCGCGCAAGGTGGCGCATGCAGATTTCAAGGCAGGCGCAGCACTTTCGCAAGGTCAGGTGCAGATTTCGTGGCAAACGCAACACTTTCGCATGGTCGAGTAAGATTTCGTGGCAGGCGCAGCACTTTCGCAAGGTCAGGTACAGATTTCGTGGCAGGCGCAGCACTATCGGAAGGCTGGGTACAGATTTCGTGGCAGGCACAATACTTTCGCAAGGTCAAGTACAGTTTGTGGCGGGCGCAGCACTTTTGCAAGGCTGGGTACACGCGATACTTTCGCAAGGTCAAGTACAGATTTCGTGGCAGGCGCAGTATTTCGTGATCGAAGGTACGATTCCACTCTGCAGCTCCAAAATCGTCAAGAATTAAGTGCAAAAGTAGTATTCGAAGTACACTTTTCCAGCTGCAGCTCGAAAATCGCAAAGAACTTTCGCAAGGCTGGGTACAGATTTTGTGGCAGGCGCGATACTTTCGCAAGCTCAAGTACAAGATTCCGTGGCAGTCGCAGCACTTTCGCAAAGTCAGGTACAGATTTCGTGGCGGGCGCAGCACTTTCGCAAAGTCGAGTACAAAAGTAGTTTTCGAGCTAGATAGATAGCAAAATAACTAAGTGGATAGATGGATAACAAAGTATTCGCGTAAAGACATGGATAGACCAACGCAGATGTCGTGCTGAGCTCTTGCCGCGCGTGTTGTTTTTTGGCTTGCAGTCTCTGGTGACTTGAGCTGCCTACACCAAACACACTAACACTAAAGTCAACAGAGGTAATGAACAAAATGTTGTCGACAACTACAGACTTCTTCACAGGTATCGTGCAAGCCTAAGGCAACTTGCTCCAGTCAATGCTTGTTGCTTGTTCCTGCAGGCGCGGCACTTTCGCATGCGACAAGTAGGATTGAAAGTTCGAGTCGAGTTGAGCTTGGCGTTTCAGCCGGCATAGCGGTGCTTGGCTTGGCGTTTCAGGCGCCGCCGCCGCGCGATTTTTGGGAGTTTCTTGCGCCGCGCACGCGAGCAGTGAGAACTCAGAAGCGAGCATCAGATGCGGGAAGCTGTCTTCTTTCCGCACGCGTGCCGCTTCAGGCCGCGAGGCGCTGCAGCATTTGCCTGAAAAGAAGTGCGGCTGGGAGGTTCTGGTACAGAATGTTTCTGGCATGGCATGTTCAAGGAGCAAGGCATCCCCACTGAAACCAGCAGCAGTGCAAATTCTATAAGTCCCATTTGTTTTAGAAACTTCCGCCCCCCGGCTCTGCCGGCTCTACTCGTATTTGAATATCGCGACCTCACTTCTGACTTTTGGAATAGAAACGATGCAGGAACCATCAGATTTCTCAGAGTCTTCCGGATGCGCCTGCACCACATGGGTGGTTTCTGGAAAGTGGTTGCCGCAGGTGTCATTGGCCAGCACCGCCATTGCTTGCTGCACCGTGGGGTTGGCGTTCAGCAGCGCAGGCAGCGGCGGCTGGCCCTCCAGAACTACGTGGCTTTGGACGTCCCAGAGCTTGGCATAGACCAACTCCTCAGCCGAGCCCAAGCAAGCCATTTGAATAAACATAGGTTGCAAGCCCGCTATGTTGGCGGGGGTTTCCTTGTGTCCCCTTAGACCAAACCCAAAAGGGTCGTGGTGGATGATGATGGTAGATGATGGTAGTAGGATCATATATGATCAGATTGTCTGGTAGATGGTGGTAGATTGTTGGTGGATAGATCATGCCAGAAAAGGCCATGAATTGAACATGAATCATAGGTAGGCACTGAAAGACAACTCGGCGTCGGCGTGTTTGCGGACGTGAGATTTGCGGTGACCTGGGATTCAATCGGGTTCAATGACTCAAGAGTTCCAGTGGTCATTTCCAACTCTGCCTGCTGTCTCTGCATCTAAGAAAAGGCACTGCAGCCCAGTCTCCAGCCCAGTATTTGCGTACTGCAGGCCCTGCCCTGTGTACGCGTTGGAGCCTCCAATGACCACTGAAGCTGGGTGAGTGCCCTCACGAAAGCCAAAGTAACCAAGCAAGAGAATGCTCATGTATTCGTTTGATTCGACTGCTGGCAACCAGGTTGCACCAGTGACCACTGCCGTGCTTCCATTTGAGAAGTTCACTTGAATGTCGTTCAGGGAAGCAATCTGCTTCTTGTGAGAAAGCACGTCGTCCGTGGGGGCAAAGGTGCAAGGCATGCCATCGCCATACGGCGTCGCAGAACTACCAGCGATGGACTGACCATCGTTCAAGCGGAATAAGGCGAAAAATCCCTGCAATGTGCTTTGCATCTGAGCTGCGTGTTGTCCATCTGCGCTGGTTGGGCAACCGAGCTCCGTCGCCTTCTGCAAATCGTCACCCGCCTGAAGCCCCAAGCACTCCGAAAAACCGTAGCAGCAGCTGAGCACCGTCGGGGCAGGAGCTACCTGCTGAACCTGCCATAACAGCAGGGCCGTACAGAGCTGCATCCTGAGCTACTGAGCTACTTACTCGGTTGGGGTAAGGACCCCTCTGCAAAAGCTTAACTTTTTCCTGGGTGAAATTCGGAAAGCCCTGGACTTCAATCAACAGGTTAAAGTCTAAAGATCCGTTACCCCATAGCAACCAAGCTTGGAGCCACAAGACCTGCGGAAAGCATGCAGACCTTTCGCGGCAAAGCAGTAGGCGCGAGCAACGAGAGAGGACAACGTAAGGATCCAAAATGGGCAATTCGATGCCCAAGCAGACGATTCCACCGATATTGGCAAGTCAATTGTCTCTAGGTGCAAGAGGTTCTGCTGCAGGTGGCGCTGAGCGGAGCCTAAGCCCTAAGCATTCGTGCCTTCACGGCAGAATGTTCTGAGACCTTGGACCTGAAAGCATGGAAGCGTTCGCTTTCATGCTGCGCAGGGTTCTGGGATCAAGGGGTTTATCCCCACTTCTGCGATACAAGGGAATCCCCCCCTTTATATAGGGGGGTCAGTCTTTGGGAAGCCCTTTTTTGTTGTATCACAGAAGTGGTAATTTCCCACCGTCCTGATGCTGAGTGTTCTGCTCCAACATTTGATCCCAACAAAAGAGGGTGCTTGAATAGATTTGCGCGAGCCTTGAATCAAGACTGATGCATGAAATGACGGAGATGCATTTGCCTGGGAAGGTCGCGATCTGACCCAGACACCATCGTGTCATGATTTCAGTTTCCTCTGGCTCAACAGGCAAGCATGGGTGAGATAGGCTATGAGGAAGAAAGAGATGGCACTCACTCACCCCTTCCCTCGCCACCATCGGCATACCAGGCACACAAGAGTACTCTTGTTTAAGACCCTGCCCCCGTTGGTTTCCATTTTGGTAAATGCTGTGGCCAAGTGGATACCAGTGACCCGTATAGTTAACCAGCCATGTTCCTTTTTGGCGAAAAAGGGTGGAAGCCCTTGGTTACCATGGCTCGCCTCCGTGGATTGGCAAAAACAAGTCCAGGAACTTGTCTATTGGCACTACACAATGTTGGTTCAAGGTCCCAAAAGTGACTCAAGGATCCGAAACCGAACTGGAGAATGTGTTCTTCAAGCTTACAACAACTCCAGGAACTTGTACCAGGATACCCAAAAATCTCTAAAAGTGTCATACCCCCAACATAAACACCATGTTTCCCCCAGGGCACGACAAATTTACAAGTTTTGAGTCTCTCGGTAGTTCTATCATCTTTTCCACCGACCTTTGGGTGCTGCCGAGTCCTCGGTCCGTTTCTTGGGACTCCCCAAGCTTCAGGGAAGCGCGAAGCGCGGGCCTGGCCTAGGAAGTGCCTACGCACCAAGCAAGCAAGCAAGTAAGCAACCAATCTTGGGATGGGACTCGGCGCACTCTCGGCTCCTCCGGGCGCTCCCGCAGCAGGTCGCGGCGCCGCAGCTTGCGGCCCTGCGGCGGCGCCTGAAATCCGCGCGCGCAGAGGGGTCGAGGGGTTGAGGGGATGGATCTCCTTCGATGGGACTTCCATTTGCTTAAGCCCCCTGGAAATTAAGAAATATGTCCAGCAGTTGGATAAACCGCTTGTGATGCCACCACCCTTCTTTAGACCAACCCTAAATTCGTTTTTCCTCAACACAAAGGTTGTGGCTCAAAATCAACCAGGAGGGGCAAACCGCAGGTTTTGGTCCATGTTTCCACTTACCAGGGCGACCCATTTTGGTACCGGTGTTTTGAGCCACAGCCGTATGGCAAACTGGCCGTTTTTGTTGTAAAGCCTCAATAAAATTTGAGAGAACAAAAACACACAGAAAAGACACACACAACAGGCCAACAACTGGCCCATAAAAATGAAGAACAACAAACAACAATAAAAACAGGCCAACAGTGGCTAGTTGTTTAGCAGCCACATAAAAAAATGAAGAAACCACACACAAAAACAAACAACAATAAAGGCCATCAGTGAAGGGATCTAGGGAGTCTTAGTGTAAGAAACCAGCAGGAAATCCGACTTGAGTTGCTGCTTAGAATTGGCTGGTTTGTGTAAGATGTCTGTTTTTGTGGATTGTCGTTGTGGACTTTCCCCCTGCCCTATAGAATAGCCGATTGTTGATCGTAGTCCGATTGTTGATTGTAGTTGAGTTTCCTTCATTGATGATACTTATGGATCAGGATTGATTGGGTGACCCATTCAATGAAATGGTTCTAACAAATGTGCTCCGAAACAGGATGTGTAAAACATTGTCCTTTGGCGCAGGCGATCGGAACCTGCTTGATTGAAGCCGTTGAACAGGTCTCCTGACCGTTCACAAGCCTCACTTAAAAGGAACCACTTCCTAGTCCTCTTCCACACAGGGCTTCATGGCATACCTCCAAGGAAAATCCGTAATCGTGGGACCGAAAAAACAACTGCCAAAGTCCATATTTGGTGAATCTGGTTCCAATAATAGTTACCTAAACAAACAAAACATCTTTGACCCGAACAACTGCCAAAGTCAATATTTGTTGATTCTGGTTCCAATAATATTTGGTTGGGGTGTTTTTGTTTTACTAGCCCTGGTTTTTGGCTAACCCTGGTTTCCAGGCACTGGCACTATGGGCAAAGTTTTACTCTGCTTTGCGACGCACTGGCACGTTCCAGGTCTCGTTGACCAGTTTGGGCGCGCAACCAACACACTCGCTCCGCTGCCACGGGCAAGCGGCAGGTCGTGGCGCGAAGCTGGGGCGGAGCTGGGGCGAAGCCGGAGCTGGACGCTCGAGGCAGCATATTTCCGAGGCTTGAGTATTTGCGCGGGCTTCCTTCCGTGGTTTGAGTCGGCACTGGCACGTTCCACGTATTGATGACCAGTTTGGACCCGCAACCAACACACTCGCTCCGCTACCACTGGCTAGCGCCAGGTCGTGGCGCAGTCACCACACTCGCTCCGCTACTATGGGCAAAGTTTGGGCAAAGTTACTCTCTGCGTCTTTGGCTCTTTCCTTTGCTACGCACTGGCACGTTCCAGGGAGAAAGAGCCGAAGACGCAGAGCAACCAACCAACCAGCCAGCCAGCCAACTAACCAACCAACCAACCCAACCAACCCAACCAACCCACCCACCAACCAACCAACCAACGAACCAACCAACCAACCAACCAACCAACCAACCCAACCAACCAACCCAACCCAACCCAAACCAAACCAACCCAACCAACCAACCAACCAACCAACCAACCAACCAACCAACCAGGGTTGGGGCCAACCAGGGTTGGGGCCAACCAGGGTTGGGGCCAACCAGGGCTAAGCAAAAAAAAACACACGACCCATAATATTTAACCAACCAAAAACAAAACATCTTTGACCCGAACAACTGCCAAAGTCAATATTTGGTGATTCTGGTTCAAATAATATTTAACCAACCAAAAACAAAACATCTTTGACCCGAACAACTGCCAAAGTCAATATTTGGTGATTCTGGTTCCAATAATATTTACCCTAAACAAACAAAACATCTTTGACCCGAACAACTGCCAAAGTCAATTTTTGTTGATTCTGGTTCCAATAATAATTACCCTAAACAAACAAAACATCTTTGACCCGAACAACTGCCAAAGTCAATATTTGGTGATTCTGGTTCCAATAATATTTAACCAACCAAAAACAAAACATCTTTGACCCGAACAACTGCCAAAGTCAATATTTGGTGATTCTGGTTCCAATAATATTTAACCAACCAAAAACAAAACATCGTTGACCCGAACAACTGCCAAAGTCAATATTTGGTGATTCTGGTTCCAATAATATTTACCCTAAACAAACAAAACATCTTTGACCCGAACAACTGCCAAAGTCAATTTTTGTTGATTCTGGTTCCAATAATAATTACCCTAAACAAACAAAACATCTTTGACCCGAACAACTGCCAAAGTCAATATTTGTTGATTCTGGTTCAAATAATATTTAACCAACCAAAAACAAAACATCTTTGACCCGAACAACTGCCAAAGTCAATATTTGGTGATTCTGGTTCCAATAATATTTAACCAACCAAAAACAAAACATCTCTGACCCGAACAACTGCCAAAGTCAATATTTGGTGATTCTGGTTCCAATAATATTTAACCAACCAAAAACAAAATATGTTTGACCGCAGTTGCAGGTCTGATGACCCGGGATGCAAGTCTGAACTCCCCGCGCCTCAGAGCCCCGTGCCGTCCAATTCCGGCGAGGCGTCCGCGACATGTGACTTGAGCCAAGTCAGCTCGGCGGAATGGAGGCGACGTGGTGAAAACAGTCCTGGCTGGTGCTAATGGTTGGTTCAATCATTGGAGAGCCATACATTTGTTGTTGTAAGCATCCAATACAAAAAACGCGCATGCCCAGCCGTGTCAGAGAGTTATTTTAAGGGCCCCTACGGTTGAAGGTTCTCCCTTGCAAAGTCCGTGGGTCTGCAAGGGTCATGAGCGTCTGATTGGTTAAAGCGTCTGGGGTTGGATCGACATCCACACCCCAAAACAGAGAAAAACTGGCTCATGATTGGAACATTGTCAAGATTTCTCGCCAGAAGGCAGGTTTGAGGACTGCTGTTTCTGACTTTCAAAAGCCCTAAACAAACAAATAATCAGGGAGAGCAAAAGGAAAATCAAGAGAGTGGCAATCAAGAATTCCAGGGTGAAATCCAAAGGCCTTTTGCCGGAATCCACTTAAAAGCGAACCAAACCATTCCCTTGCGACCTCAAAACATGGCGAGCTTCAATTGGGGTCCTTTGCATAAAACAACCCAAACAGGATCCACGTGCACATGTTTGCCCCATATTGTGGGCGGGCTCTCGTTTCACCTTGGTCTCAATACCATCCAATAGGGGACGGGGGGTGGCCCTTAAGTCTAGGACATACCTAAGCAGGTACTGCCCTAGAATGAGTCTCCCCCGCCCCAGAAATGACTCCCTTCGGCCTCGCAGCAAATGTCATCAATGGCCTGCGCGACGATTCTTATAGTTGCCCAGCAGCGCAGTTCTCCCGCATTTAAAATACCAGGTTGAGCTAAAAAAGCATCCCTGAGAGAAATTGGCTTTGATGTTTGACAACGCCTCCCTTGGATGCTAGTAGACAATCAACGACAATCCTATGGCAAACCAAACATGCGCAAGTGGATCCTGCTTGGGTTTTGTATCCAAAGGACCCCTCAATTAAAACTTGCTTTGTTTTGAGGTCGCAAGGGAATGGTTTGGCTCGCTTTCAACTTTGAAAATGCCGCCCTGTGCCAGTTGAGACCTGAACTCAGGCTCTGAGATGCCCAAAGCGACAGGGTTCCATCAAAATGGGTCAGGGGTACCTCCTGAAAGGGGGACTTAAAGTGGTTCACCCACTTGCCAGGTTGCAAGTCCCCTTTCTGTAAGTATCCGTGCTTTCCAACCCATTTGCATCCTGTGCTCTATTGCCCCTTCAAGTGCTCCATGTGTCAAAATAGCAAGGTATGTCATACATGCAATGAACCCTCCCACGGAAGAGCACGGTCGACGACTTTCAAACAGTACCAACCCATGGCGACCAATCTCAAACTATGGAGGCCATCCACCCGATTGGGCATGTCGGTGCCATGTCACAATGTGACTACAAGGGGCTGAATGGGCGCGTCTCATTGTTTGTCTTTTTTCCCCGGCGGGCCAAACATTTGGTTTCCTATTGGTTTCCCTTGAAACCAATCCCAAACGGGGTACTATCAAGAAAAGACCTACTTCAAATAGTCCCAAACACATACTATCGTCCCATGATCATACACAGTACGCCGCTAACTCTTCCTAATTGGTTCGGCCCTGATAGAAGACCCCTCCTGTTGGAAGCAAAGGACATTATTGACCTGAACAGGCCACGCCAACCCTTCCGAGTCCAGAGTCAGCAGCTCACTCGCAGGAATCTCAACACAAGTGCGAGGAAACCCTATGGAAGCACCTGGTGGGGGTACGACAAAAGGACCGAAAGCTGAACTTTGGTCACCTCACTCAATGAGTTTTTTGACACCATACAAGCCTTGGGTTTTGCCCATGGGCCATACAGGGAGGACACCCAAGCCTTGTGTGGTTTCATCTCGGTGAATCACAAATCGTGAGCCCGCAAAAAGGGATCCGAGCCTCAAGGAACGTGAATCGGAGTCACGAGCTGAGTTGCGCGAGAATCGCCAATTTTGTTGTATTCCTCAAGCAAAAGCCGCCACCATGTTTCGGGTTCACTGGACCATACCAATCATACCATGTCTAGATCCGGAGACCAGGCATAACGCAGCGGGGCAAGAGCAAAGCACATCTTTACCTCGCTCAAGTTTGGCCCGCAGCGCTAGCCCTCCTTTCGCAAAGATTCGGCAACCTCCGAGCTGAGATTGTTATACCTCAGGCTGGCAGCGTCTCAGGGGTTCTGTAAAGTTGTCCCTTGCAACAGTATTCCGAACAGTTGCCAAGCCCCGCGGCGGAACCCATGATTAACCGGAGGTTTGCTTCAGAAAACACCGACTTGCACTTGGCAGCTAGCAGTCCAAAACTCGGCCTATGGAGTACCCCAGAACTTCGCGGGAACCCTCCAGGAACCTGCCCCTGCATTTTGGCCCATAGCTGTCGCTGGAAAGATACCAGTCATGGCCGGAACAACCAGTCATGTAGCCGTAGCCGAAACAAACTGAAACAAACACGCAACAAGTCATGCCTTCCAAACCAACTGGAAAAACATCATGTTGAGCAAACGGACGCAGGGACCCCTGCATTGCGGACCGGCAAGAGATACACAGAACCACCATTCTGGTTAAATGTATGGGGCAGGGCCTTGAGTGCACCTTCCATTCATCCCCGATCGAGCGCGGAGATGGAACGATTCACTCATGCCAAGATGCATCAAGTCGAGAACCTGAGCGCAACGGCCAAACTGAGCAGCGACCAACGGTTCTTCCAAGATGCTGAGGTTTACGTAGCACAAAAAACACCCTGTACCCACATTCCAGTATGTTGTTTGGTTGGAGGGGTCCCAATCAACGGACCTTATACCCTCCCTTCCGCACATGACCTTTTGATGGTGGAGATCTTCTGCCATGACTAACAGGGGTCAAATGCTCGCCTGGCCGTCTCTGTGAGCAACACATTCACCTACCGTGGATGGACAAAATCCATTTCGCCCCACAGAAGGAAGCCATGGTTGAAACCATTGCTTGTTGATATTTGCTTGGGAATCATCATTCCAGGGCTTGTTGGGTGCTGCGAAATGGATTTTGTCCACTAATTGCTGTTTTGGAGGTGTTCCGAGGTCAAGAAGGGGCTCCAACACCCGAAACACCGATCCACACCACCAAATCAGGGCAAACTTATAACCCACCCGGAATAAAAAACATTGTGAAAAAGCATAACTTTCGGGGATCCGACAAAGAAACCTGGCCGACAAAACAGAAACCAACCAGCTATGTTTCCTGGAATCTGGATTGCCCAAGATGGGCTCATACTTTTATTCGAATAGTATGTAAGTTTTTGGCAACCACACCAATTATTGGGTAACTGCATGTCCTTTGACAACCACTCGTAAAAGGATTTTTGAGAGAACTCAAAACGCAACCATCCAGCCTTGGAACATGTTTACTTGTGAAAAGGCTTGTAAAAAAAACTTGTGGGGGTTGCATGTTGGGCAAAACAGGGGGAAGTAACTTAGAGGGGAGAGATTGTCGCACTTTCTCAGACCAGTGGCCATGGGTCAAAACAGGGCACGATTTTTCGGGAATTAATGTTAAAGGGAAACCCCTCCAAAAGCTTTTGGCATCTGGTTGCGTGGGTTGTTGATCGAATTCGGTCGCGTCGCCAGCCCTTTCTCCACCGCGGACTTGAACTCCAAGGCCCCTTCATCGCCTCAGCAAAAGCCCGAAAAAACGCATTCAGGGACCCGATCGCGCGCCCCAAACACACTCAGCGGGGGGGGCGGGGGGGGGTGGGGTGGGGGAGGTGGTGGTTCGCAAAAAAGGTGGGGTCTCCTTGGCTCCCTCATGCAAGATGGGATCCCTAGAAATGGTGGGCTTCTTTTGGAACGTTGGTTTCCCTTTGAATGCTAAAAAAGCCACGACTCCCATTTGAAACAACAGCCATAGTCTATGAATAGTGTGTCTTTTTCTCGAGATTCTGTGTTGAAAGTTGCTTGGGAAACCACAAGAAACCCAGTGTGAGGTGTCCCATCTTGTTGACGTGAACCTATCCGCCAAAGCAAGCAAGGGAAAAAACATTATCGCAGAACCCTCGGCATTTCTCTTTTCTTGGACTTTCTATGGGTGCAGTGGGACATGGAAACACGCAATGTCTCTGAACCCTGCGGTGCCTCTGTTTGGATGTATCTAGAGGCTTGGCTGTTGCAGGTGGATCGGATTTTGGATAGTTCCCCCATCCTGCCTGCGTAACCCTCCTTGCGAAGACTACGGAGGTTTGGGACTCAGCCAAGTGCTTGGCAATCATGCTTTGATCTGAGGACTTTTGTATTACACCCTGGGAGTACATGTGAAAATGACCCCTGCAATGAGGCAAAATGTGCCTAAATGGGGTCCATACCTGGGGGGGTATTCCCAACGAATAGAAAAACCATTGGATTCGGCTTGCTGGGGGGTTAGGGAAGTAAGGGGCGAAGGGTATCTGTTGCATACCCTCCCACCAACTAACATGGAACCTGACGTTGGAGGGCAATATGTTTCACTGCCGCTCATATACGAATGTGCGATAATGCATGCAGTGGTATCAAACCATCACATTTCTCACGAGGACTCATCCTCCTTCTGGGGTATGACTGTGGCACCTTGCCCACAAAGGTGCATACCTCAATGTATAATGTATAGCGAGGGCACTCACCCTGCTTTGGCAGTGGTCGTAGAGGGAAGTCAAGAGCAATCACCCTTTTTGGGGGGTTGCCTTCAAAAAGAAACACAAACGCACTGCATGCTCAAGAATGATACACTCCCTGCTCGTTCCAACCTTCAGCATTCCCTCATTCCCTCATTTGGGCGGGGGGGACTTTGGGTGGCTTGTTCCTGTGTAAACAAGCACGACATTGTGGCATTGTGTGCTTTTAGTTTGAACACGCAAAAACAATAGACAAGGCTTCATCCCTTAAAACAGAGGCATGTACAGCAGAAACCCTCTTCGGGCTGGATTGAAACAATAACCTCAATTTACGCCAATTGCCGCAGAAACTCACTACTCACATTCCCCACAGTGATCGTACTACAGGTCTGCACTCAGTCTTACCCCTTAAAACTCCAAGCCCTGGGGAAGTTAATCTTTTACAGACATATAGCCAATGTTACCCAAAAAGTTGAAAAGTTGTGTTTTTAAGAGGTAAGCAGTCGTATCCGATGCGGTATCTGACGTTTTTACCACCAAGGTAGTCTTCCTCAAAAGTTTATTTTAGCATTCTCGAGTTGCTCAAAATGCGTCATACCCCTGTTGCATATGCGGCTTGCTTTCCAGTTTTAAGGGTTGTCTTAAACCTAAACCAAAAGGACACCCGCGCTTCTTTTGTTTGTTTCGCTCCTTCTACCTGCCCCCACCCCAACCACCCCATTCACCCTCACCCCAACCACCCCCACCCCACCCCCACCCCACCCCCACCCCACCCCCACCCCACCCCCACCCCACCCCCACCCCACCCCCACCCCACCCCCCCACCCCCACCCCACCCCCACCCCCCACCGGCACCCCCACCCCCCCCCGGCACCCCCACCCCACCCCCCCCCCCCACCGGCACCCCTTTCACCTGAAAACGCCCTGACCGACCGAAGTCGGCTTCGCCGTCGTCCGAGGTGCCGATGGCATTGCAGGTGAGCTGTAGGGACTCCAGATTTGCCGGCAGAGCTGAGGCCAACTGCTTGGCACCCTGCCGCTCGCGGATTGAAAACGTCACCCCCCTTCAGAGAACCTCAGACAAAATGGGAACCTCCATAACTAGGGAACCTCTCTTTCAAAATGGGAGCACTATAGATAATGAGGGAAACCCATTGAATCAACGGAAAAGTGAAGGTAAACATATATGCCTGGTCTTGGTTGCTGGCAAAGTCTAAAGATCCAGTCCAATAGCAATCAAGCCCCTGCCTCTCGCGCCATTGCAACATGTCCCAAGCATCTTGGAGGTTCTCGAAGGAAAATGGTAGAACGGGCAATTCGAGGAAGATAAACCAAAGAACGAATCAGCGGAACGTCGAACCATCTTGAACCAAACCATCTTGGTGGGTTGTAGAAAAGAAGAAGGGAAGGACATCGGCTCAAGTTTAGCCACCATTGGGCCAGGGATTTCCACGCATCTAAGGCCTTAAGGCTGGGAACCTGAGGATTTCCCGCATCTTGGCAGGTTGGAGGAAGCTCAGCTTGGATGAGTCAGATTTTGTCATGGGGCCTCAGAACGGGGCCCGGTTTTAAGGTTTCAAGGGCCGGGTCCGGGGTCCAAAAAGGATCTGCGACATCCGTAGGTCTGGGGTCATGAGAACGGGGTTTTCCAACAGATCATACCGGATTCCCTGATAGGACACATCCCGATAACTCACCCCAACCTGAGGGCTCTTGAACACGAAATCCCACTTTTAGGGGCCCCTTCCTTCTGAAATCGATGTTTTACACCAATAGACGTCAACAAAAAGTACCTTGTGAGGTCAAGGGGATAGCTGAAACATCTACCATTTCCAGACCTCGTAGCTCCTTAGCTCCCTCTTTAGGAGCAAAGCTGCATAGCCCCAGCTCCGAGTCTGGCTCCCTTCCAACCACCAGCTGGAACTTGCGACATCCACGTCAAGCGACAAGCTGAGCGCCTGGTCAGTGATGGAGTTGTGGCCAAGGCCCAGGCCAATGAGCTTGCACCGCCTGACGGTTGACTTTCTATTTCCCATGTCCCGCCTTTTTGAAAGCCGCCTATCAGCTTCCTCCTTTCTTGGTGGTTTGGAGCCTGGTGGGAACTGGGGAATTGAACCCCTTGAAGGGGGTTAATGGTCTACTACTTGCTAACTTGCAAACCACCCTGATTCAGTCCGTGTTGGTCTGGTTTTGCTTTCCATGTTTGTCTTTCGACCCTCCGCTTACGCGACAGTTCCGCGGCTGGAGGGCAGAAAGGAGACACAACCAGCCAGGGTATCACCCACAGGACACTTCGTGTGCTGGCCAAAATATATCACTCCCACAAAAAGTCAAACTTGTTGTGCCAATAAAGCGGTCTCCCCCAAAAAAATCAAAAAAATGAAAGGTGCAGGAACTCCGGAAGTGAGAATTGCGTGGAACATCCCCAAAACAAGGGGCCTCTGATTGACCCTATGAATGGCTAGTCCCGAGATGAGGCACAGGGAGCATGTTTTGCAACTTACATGCCCGAAGGACCTGGAAACACAAGGTGAACACTGACGAAACACGCAAACATTGAAAGCCGAAGAGTCATAATCAAACTGCTACAAAAGGAGTCTACCCAAACTCATGTAAATAACTTAGATCAAAGACTTCCCCCCCTGACCCCAAACCAACCCCCAAAGGAGAATGTACCCCAATTTACCGTTGATTGTTGTCTTATGTCTAAGGGGCATGTTCCAGGGGTCTGGTGGAACAACCTTTGATTAGAGTCTTTAGAGGGTTCCACACCGATTTTCTGGCTAGCTCCATCTACCCAGGCTTAAATATGGCTCAAGTCAGGCAAGTGAGACAAGAATCCATGATTCCTACATTTGCCTCACTTCTCAGTATTTCCAAATATTTCCAAATAGTCTCATAATTTCTCTACATTTATTCTCTACATCTACCACAATTCACCATATTTCCGAATATGTCCAGGCGTTTCCCAACATGTCCCCTGAACGTTTTGTATGTACCGAACTTCCCAATATCCTCCAAAATCCGAGTTGTGAGAAAGAAAAACAACTAAAACAACCTATATCTCCCCCCCAGCCTTCCAATTTCAAAGTTGTCAAGGAGAACTGCGCCATCTGACACCAGCATGGGTGTGTTTTGCATCCAGCTTTGAAGCTGGGCGAGGCGGTTGGTACCTTTTGAAGTGGACATTTGGAAAACGAGCGCTTTTTGGCAGAACCCGGTATTTCCCCTGTATGGTCGATACTTCCCCCAATTTCCTCACTTTGCCAAAAGGACCTGGCAAGAATGGTTGACGTTCTTGGGGGTCACTAGACAGCCGCAGCATGCTGTACCCCCTTTGCAAAAACCGGAAAGGTGGTGCAATGAAACGAACAGCGACCTGCATGGCAGCACTTTCCAAGGGCTGTGGAGTAAATACCACAGGAGCAGACTCCCTTCTTGGTGGTACCTCCCCCTGAAGGGGCAAAGGATGCCAAAATAATTCAGAATTAGGCGCCTAAGGCCTCATTCAGTTCTCCTTCAAGCGACAGGACCTAAAACCACATCCTGACCTTGAGCAGTGCATACCAATACGCCTCCACCAGAAACCCCAAAACCGGGAGGACCCTTCCACTACTAGGTCCTCCAGTAGAGAGGTTAGAATAAGGGCACCCTTTTTTCTGTAGTTGATTTTAGTAGGGAGACCCTCCCCAAAAAAAGAAACGGTGAGAAAGGGCACTACTGCGGGACCCTTCCACTGGCACGTCCCATGCTCACAACTCCGCTCGGATCTGAGTGTCTCCAGCACCGCTGCGAGGCTCGCGGCGCCCGTGTCGCCAATGCCTCAGGCGTCAAAGGCCAGGTTTTCAACGGGGGGCGGACGAACAACGCCCTCACTCCAAATACCCACCGTGTTTAGGAGGTAGTTGGGTGTGTGTGTTTTAGGGTTGGTTACTTGAAAGGGAAACCTAAAGGAGGACCAGCATTTTTTGGGGTCGCCCTATTTTCACACAAACTCTTCTTTAGGTTGACATGGTTGACATCATACCTGGATATAGGGTTTAGGGGAAGTTAATTTTGGGTTACAACACAACTGCCCTGTCGTTGAAAACACACATTAAAAGACGACACAACGTAAGAATCGACCAGTGCGAGCATGCCAGGGTCAACTTTTCTTCGGGATACTTGTCAGCACGTTTAACACAGGGCTAACTGGCTGGACTAACAACAGGGAACAGAACAGGGTAGACTCCAAAGGTCTGCTGGTCAACTGGTCATGACACATCTGGCCCTACACAAGCCTGGTTCAAAAACAACAGACATACCTACGATGGTTGAGACATCTCTCCTAGGGCACAAACGCGTGGACTCTGTACAATTCAAGGTCCCAAATGATCCTGGCTTGGGACCCAAAGAAAGAGCGAGCCTGCATCCCCTTTTGGTCGACGTTCATCCCCAAACCTAGGATTGGACTACTTGTTGACCATAATCGTTGTTGTAAAGGGAAGCTCGGAAGCTATAAGAGGCTCCCAAACGTCGACTCAGTCTGCGCTCCTGTGCACGTGTAAACCCTGTAGAACGCTCTACTTTTCAGGGGGACAACAAACTTGGCGAGTGTTCATCGCTGACCAACAACTTGGGGCAGCAAATACCGTTGATACAAGAGTTTACGCGCTGTTGGTGAACACGACAGCTAGATACGCACAAGTCTGTGGATCAGCAAACACAGCTGGCGCGATTCAAATATCGAGGTTGCGGCGTGCACTGGAAGCCTGCAGCTTGGAAACATCAAGCTGCCATTTTAGGTGACCAGTATCACTTTGGTCTTGAAGGGTTTCCTTACTTAGGGCGATGACATCATTGGGCCAAATGAATCATTGGGATACGAAAGTCCTATCCAGCTCTCGTTGACCCCTACTTAGGCCTCGCTAAGAACAGAAAAAGGCCTCTTGGTTCGCATCGGGTGTTGGGAGGTTTGCCGAACATATTCGGCAGTTTTTTGGCAAAGAGTGGGGTTCTTGAAGGAAAGAACATATTACTCAGTTTTGGTGCTATGAAAGGTAAACCCCATGAGGTGATGTTTCAATCACCCAGCAAGGAGAAACAATCTGCATTGGATACAAGTTACAATAATCCCAAAGCCTGAAACAAGGGGATTCCCAACTAAAGAACCCACATCACGACATGGGCAGCCTCACCTGGAGGTAAACCAGGCAAAGTTAGGAGTTCAAAAGCCGCATTTCGGGCAGCGACCAAAAAAAGTAACAGACATGGCCATGGGTCAAAAGTCAAGCCGTACCCCCAGTGAACATCCCAATCCAACCAATCGGTTCTAACATGGGTGGTAAATTCACCTACCAACCAACATGGGATCCCAAAACGGTTTTGACAACCACAGCCACATCAGGCCGTTGGCGCCGTTGGCAGTTTGGAGCCCTCGACCCCTCGATGCCGAGGAGCTGTTGCCTGCCAAGTCCAGGCCGGTGAGGGAGCTGGAACCCAACAGCTCCTCAGCGGCTGTCCCTCGTGTTTTGGGGGTGGTACCCTCCAAACGATTCCATGCGAGCTCCCAGGACTTCTTTGGAAGACTTGGCTCCATTTACGGAGGCCTTATGGGAGCTTCCATGTTAGTCTGAGGGAGTGTAATGAGAATTGGGGTCTGACCCCAAGAAAAACCATCCAACTGGTGGTTTCCTTTAACTAAGGGAACCAAAGCAACTGGGCTCATTCCATTCCTGAAATTCCCTACTTATCGCACCAGCAAGTCGTGTCGTTTTCTTGAGGCTGGGGCTGGGGCCCTGGAGTTGAAAAGGAGACCTCAGGAAGACCAAAGCCACTGTGAACCGCCCTCCCCCAGGAAGAAGGGCACCGACTTGGGTATGCAGTATGCGTCAAGCTAGGGATTTGGACCCCACCAATTGGTGGATTGCCTGGCGGTGTCCCTTTCAACCAACCTGAGCAGCGTACCCTCAAAAAAGAGAGGACCCAGTTTGAGGGATTCTCAATTAATTTTTGGACATAATGTCCCTTTGAACGACCATTTAGGGGCTAATGTTTAAGGATATCGCTAACTTGATAGACAAGTGTTCAGAGTGTTCGAGTCGACGGAACTTGGCGAACAAAAAAGGGTGGGCTTAAAAGCCCATGACTCATGGACGGTTGCTGCTGATTCCAGGGAAGTTGTCAGAACCACTTAAACCACTTGTTTGCACGGAAGATATCCCGGTCAAAAAGTGAGGTTCTGTTGTTTCTCCGTGGATCCAGTTACCTAGGTAGCCAAGAGACAGCGAGATGCAAAACACAGAGGCAAGACATCCAAAGTTATTTTTTCTACGGCGAGCTGTATCTGGATTCCCTGTTTCTAGGGAAACTGTCACCTTCAGAAACGCAGAAGTCTGCTAGGGAAGTAGTCCGTTTCAAACCCCTGCGCCTGATCCCAGGCAAAGGGGTGTCCCCTTCCGGTACAGGGAAGTGGATCCACGTCCAAAGCGCTGTTGGGGCGGAGGGTGCTGGGAGCAAAAGCGAGAAATTCGAGAGAGTCACAATCCAAGCACCTGGAGTCTCCAAGACTGCTTTAAAATTGGGAGACCGCGCGGTAACTGACTTCTGCAGAGTTACTCTCATGAATGGCGGTGTGACTGAGAATGCTGTCAAAAGAGGGCATGCACCAGTTATTTGCTGTTCGTCACCGTGACCCCATGAATGGATTCTGGAGACAGGATAATCACAACTCGGCACTGGCAAATTGATTGTTGCTGAACCCTCATCTTCCCTCAGCAAAACCTTAAGCCCTGGGACCCCACCAAGAACATCACGGACGGCCATCTCTCAACTTCTAAGTCTAGGCCCCCAGCCCCGGCCTTGGCCCAAAGGCCTTATTTTAAACCAGGTGCGAGCATCTTCCGAAAGGCTGCCTGGCTCCCTGGAGCTGATTGCTTCGGAATCGCCGGCCGAAAGCCAGAACACACTAGCTCCAGGATTGGACCAAAAATTACCCCGCCTGGCTAGCGAAGGTCACGTGGACCATTGGTGACTGTCGATTTCCTTTGAGTGTAAACTTCTCAAACAACCCAACATATAATATTTATTGACTTGGCTTTCCTTGGCCCCCTGTCCACCACAGGCTGGCGCACATCTGGCCCATGTACTCTACGCTCAAATAAGGGGTGCTGAAATAGGGGGTCTGGAAATGCATTCCTTGAGGAAAAACAACCATTGCGGGCTGGATAGCACCCAGCCCAATGTCCAGGATTGGCCTTCTTTCAGCTGGCTGCATTGAGAAGCATCAGCTGAACCAGGATGAAAAAGAAATGACTTCTCCCGCTGAAAGCTGTGTTTCGTGTTCTACATGTCCGGCTTCTGTGGGGGACTTGAGTGACCTCCGCCCTTCTAGTCCAAAACATTTTCCGAGACTCCGCGACATGAGCAGCGCCGTCAGGACCAAGGTCATTCCTCAAGGACTTGTGGGCGAAAGAGCCGAAGGGCGGCTGGAAGAACTCCAATCTCAGGGATCCTTCACTAACTAGGCCAAGCTGGGGACATGGATGTTCTATCTGAGAACGAGTGAAGAGAATGGGGAATCAACTCGAAGAATTGGAAAAAAACACAGCGGCTAAGAAGGGATTGGCTTTAAACATGGACAAGCCAAATCGATCCTAACTAGCAGGAAATATTTCCACTTTCTGGGTTTCGGGCACGCGCCATTTAAGGACAATATTGTTGCTTTCATGGGCCCCGTCTCCGCGGCCCATGCGAGCTGACAGAGTGACAATACGACAACACACGATTTTCGACAAGGTGCCCAAATTTATTTTGAAGATGCCGGCATGACCTAATTTCAAGGCCAAAGAAAACCAGCCTTAAAACATGGTTCCCTACGATGTTCCGCTGAAACACCCCTGACAGCCCGACGAAAAGTAGGCCTAGTTTGCCCATCGCCCACGGCTTCCAGCAAAGCGGCTGCTGCAGCATTAGGACCTCCAGCCTGGGGCAAATGGCTGACTGACGCTTTCGGGTATTTTTTGGCAAAATGTCACTATACTTCCAAAAGCCCGCATGTTTCGGATGCTGAATTGGCTTTTGAGCCATAAATGCAAGCCAAGTCTACAATAATTTCGGAAATTGAAATAAGGGATCCCCCAAATTCGCTCGTTATAATTACCCCCGAATCGGTGAGCTAGGCAGATCTTTGTACTTGAGTGTTCTGCGAAGTGCATACTTTTGGACATAAACTAGCTGTCGGCTTTTGCTGGGAGCCAAGGGGGCTCGGGTGAAGTGTCTTGCTTCCGCAAAAGGACGGACATGGAAATATTTGGGCTTGTCCCATTGTCCCGTCTTGACCACATTTCGGATGATTATGCCTAAACGTGTTTTGCAAGTAGGCCACAACCCCCTAAGAGAAGCCTGGGATTTAGAACTGAGTGGCCGTCCACGTGAATCCATGTACTTGTCCACGTAACCAAGGGAACCAACAAATAGCTGCCATGGGGGTAATTGGGATTCACCGCTTAAGGTTCACCATGGGGCGTTCCCAAAATGGGGGACCTTCTGTCGGTTGGTATTTGTGCAAAGGGATGGAATCCCCACTGCCAATCACCAAACAAACCAAAGGGTGGTAATTCCGAGATGCTTGTGGACCCCCTTTTGCTTATTAAACAACGCAAACCAACAGTAAACTAGCCATTTAGGGGCAACCCTATTTTGAGAAACCAGTATATCTACGAACTGGGTATGGCATGGTACCCACTTAGTAGGTAACCAAGAGAATCAAAAGGGAAATGGCTGGTTCGCTGTAGAAACTGGGGATCCATCGGGAGAGATTATTGAATCTCTAAGGCGAAGGGGCTAGCGGAGAGCCCTAGATTTTCGTTCAGTTCCTGAAATCCCCCTTAGGGACTTCACCCCAGGTGGTTTGGATTGGTTGGGTGGGTAAGGAGTGGTTTCCCATTTACCCTTCACAAGAAGGGGTTCAAATCTCCAGTTCCCCCCGAGCTCCAAGCTACAACCTTAACCTTTCTGGAATCCCCCCCTTGCACCACCCCACCCCTTTTAGGATCTCCATAGATCGAGAAGCCACGCGACGACCAAACCTCTCGCCTGGAGTTCTCCTTCAGCGCAGTGCAGATCTGCTGCGCGCCCTCACCGTCGATGCGGTTGCTGCCCAGGTTGATGCTGTTCAGGCTGCTAGACGCCTGTTTTCGCCCCCCCCCCCCCACCCAAAGGAAAAAAAAGAAAAAAACGGACATGTGCTCATTGGTCACGCACATGAGCACGCGAATCGACGGGCATGGCAGTGGTCAGTACCCTAGCCGGAAGTCGAAAGAACGTCAAATACCCTACTACCCTTACTACCCTACTAGTCGGTCAGCACCCCCTACTCCCCTCCTAGCCGGTACCCTGCTAGCCATGCTCAAGATCTCGCTACTCTGGTTCAGTCACCCTGGAGAAGAAGGGAACCCTTTTTGGGGGAAAACCATTTTTGGTGGGGCAGCCACCGAAAAACAATGGGAAAAAGGGTGCCACTGAACAACTGAGTAGAGGTTGACATCTGCCCCTGCCAGCCCACTCCCCACCCCCCTTTGGCCTGCTTCTTCCCAGTCCAAACTGCAGCCGTCGGATGGTGTCTGTCCCCCTTAAAAAACCACCTCACCAGAAGAAGGCGGCTCCTAAAAAAACATGGGTCCGTCTCGAACTAGGGAACCCCCTGGTTAGATGAGCCAAACATTTGACACCACATCGCCTTCCCGGAACCCATATGGACAACTCCGGGTGACCACTCCCAGCCCACCGGTCGGGCTCCGGCCAGCGGGGCCAAGATGAGATCCAGGTTCTGAGGGCCGATCTCGTTCATGGCCAGGTCCAAGTGTCTGAGGCCTCGCAAGTTGCCAAGGCCTCTCCGGTTCTCCTCTTGGAACCAATGGTTGGAAACCCTCTTGGTGCCATTTTTGGGGAACCCTCTTGGAACCGGTTCCTCTGCTTTGCTTCGCGATAAGCAGGAGAACTGGCAATGAACGTTGCTTTGGTCCCCGAAAGGACACCAACTGGATGGTTTAGGGCCCCTGCCTATCGAAAACACCAGCAAGGACCAGGTTGGATGTGCCAAACGGGTTGGCCCGAACAACGGGATTTTGAACCTCCATGTGAAAGGTCAGCAAAACGTTGCTTGTGTTCGGCCTAGAAACTGAGTAGGGTCTGAAGCAACAGGCCGAGGAACTCGCGAGAAAGACGCTAGAAGTTCGTGGCAACCATGGTCCGTGGCCTAAACAGGCCGCATTTTCAGTCACTACGAGTTGCAATGGCTCCATAGCCTATGGCTCTGAATCAGAATATGAATACTCCTTGTCGTTCCTACCCCACTCTTTTTCTTTATGATTGCTTATGTCTCCAGTTGTTCATTTGCGTCGGAACTCGTTCCCCCATGTTTACTTGGTCATTCCCTATACCCCCTGTTCAGCTGAATTTGTGCCGCCCAGTGTGCTTTGGCTGCGCCTTGGCCAGTGTTGCTCCGACATCCCTGCAAAAAGGAAAGCCCTCCCCCTCCATACCTCAGGCCAATGTCGCATCTGATTCGGGTGTACAAGCTAAGGTCCGAGGCCCACCAAACCTCTTTTTTGGTGCACACAATGACCAACCAAACAAATCCATGACGCCAGGGCTGTCCTATTCACTCCTTATTGAACGTACACCTACCGTCTCCATGACACTTGAACAAAATTAGGGCCACATACCCATATATATATTTTTTCCTGGTCCCCAGTTTCCAACGACCCTCTGCACAGTACTTGGGTTTACGTGCATCTTGCTCACCTAAAAGTCCCTGATAGCCTGCGGGAGTTCGCCCAACGCCTAGCACCGGACTCGACGTCCCTTTGCCTTTTGCTGGGCCCACGGTTCCACCTTCATCTGACACCTGAAGGTTCTGCAATCCATGTGTCGGTGGGAACTTCCTTTCCAGTGCACAGATTCAGATGAAAACCAGAAGGTGGTCAGATGGCAAACCTAAACCTATATGCTGTGGATTCCATGTCAATCTGTAGGGGTGTACCACAAGTTTAGAACTAGGATGGTCCCTTTGCAAAGCGTCTGCAGCAAGTTTGTGCTTTCATGCCTGGCGCAATCAACTGCAGGGGGTACTCCTTGCGCATATTTTTGCAAAGGGCTGGCAAAGACAAGCGGCCCTGGTTTGTGGTGTGCCGATTTCACAAAACAAAGACTATGGCCGACGCCAAAATCGACGCCCCTGACGAAAAAGCTGAAGTAGATTGACCGTTGAAATTGAAATGTAACCAGGCCCAGAAGCTTGTTCCAAAAGGACTGCCCTAGCTCCGTAAACGGGTGAGCTCGTTTTACCCAAGATCAGTGAGCTCGTTATAGTCTTGTTGGTGCTCAGTAGGGAATGACCCTGTGTTGGGAATGAACCGGAAGGGGATTCCCTGAAAGGAAACCAAATCGGGGATGGTTTTCTGAGGGTCCTTCCAACTCATTCCCTTGCCTAGGTCCTCCAGTAGAGAGGATAGATTCTGGGTACCTTTTTTTCTGTATTCCATTTTAGTAGGGCAACCCTCCCCCAAAAAAGAAACGGTAAAAGGGCACGATCCTGGGGGACCCTTCCACTTGCTGAGCACCGGCGTCCCCCATTGCCCTCAGTCGCCTGTGTCCTTGGAGGCCATCAGCAGCTGCTCAGCCCCACGGCCGCACACGCGGTTGCCGCTGATGTTGAGGTAAGCCAGGGAGGACCTGACGGATGTTCTACGGGTAGCTTCCATTTCCATTCTTTTCAGGGATCCGAATCTTTCTAGAAAACCACCAAAACCCCAGGGGAAATGGCCGGTTTTTGAAAAGAACGATGGCTGAAAAGAATGTGGAATCAACCCCTAGAGATGTGTTTCCCGATACAGAAGCCTTGCCACCGCATTCATGACCACTGGAATACTCACAGGCAGGCATACTCATGGGGAAGGTTCAGCTCCAAGCCAACATGCACACACATGCTGGAAAATGCCCAAGCTTACGGACAAACGTGCAGCCTGCAGCGCAACATCTAGGAAAGCAAAGCACGAAGCACCGCTGCAAGAAAGTGCCAGTCTTGCCCACCTTACCTGTCTACATCTTCAGCTAGTTTTAAAGCCAGGCAAGCATTGCCAGCGCAATGTGCTGGTCAGTTAATGCAAGGACATGCCAGAAAATGCTAGAACATGCCAGAAAAAGCTACACACAATGCAAGGAAGTACACAAAGACCATGACCGTAAACATGACAAAACCCACGCTGTGATATTACACATATATATATATACATATATATATATGCAATTACCACATCATGACAATGTAGAATGCATCCTGGCTTTGCCCAACATGCAGGAAGGAAGCTCTTGCTATGAATTGACATTGTTGTTGCCGGCCAACTGCGCCAACATCTCAGTTCAAGGCCATTGTTCGTCATTGAGCTCAATGTGGCTTTGCGCATCCAGCACAAACACATAGTGTGTTTGCATGTTCCGGTATTATGTTGTCAACACATGTCAAAACTGTGTTTGTTCAGCTGCGTATCCCTTGGCCTTGGCTCGATTGCTTCTATACTGGGTTTTGATGAGGCGAAATGATGCCGAGTTGGCCTCACACTTGGAAGCCCAGGCTGCCGCCCACCCTCCGTGAATTCGCCAAAGCTTCCCCAAACAAAAAAACCAAGTCAAACAAAACCCCTGGAACCCTGCAGAGCCAAAACCCTGCAGAAGAGCCCACATCCTGCTCTTCTGGATAATCTATCTTACTCGTCTTAATCTTGCAGGGTGTTGGTGTAAGTGTGTGTGGGCTCCAAAACCTTAATTAAGCAGCGACAAGTACCAATCCAAAAGCCCGCAAATTGACACCAAACTCAAACTGCCCTTTTCCCCCCGACGCGAAACGCAAACTCCCACTACCTTGGCACCAACTCGATGAATTTGACTTTTCGAAACGGAGCACCCCAAATAAACCGAATTTTCGATTCTGGCGTTGGTCTCCCCAGGCGGCTCCGTGAGTACAGTGTAAAGCAGGCGGCGAGCACTCCTCCCTTGTGAGTAGAAGGGATGATAGAAAACCTGAATGTGGAACTAGTGCCTACTTTCACCCTGAATCCTTGAAACCCTGACCCGAGGGGTCAAGGGAAAGCACAACAACTCTTGAGTTGTAGTCTATTTGCCAATGAAACACCCTCCAAAGAAAAGAAACAGAGGAAGCAGCCCACTAGAGACCCCCAACCTAGAAGGGAAAACCTCAAAACAGGTCAGATACTTGAGGCCTGAACCTCCATTTGCTGAAGTCCCCTGGGACAATTAACATATATGTCCAATAGTGACAAACTCCCTTTAAAACCAACAGGGCGAAATAACACATAGTCTTAAGCAAATGAAAGCATGTTGAGGGTCTCCTAGTGCGAACACCCATCTGTAACAACCAGCCCACTTTGGTTCTCTTTAAATGGACACCGAAAGGAGCTCTTGGTTAAGAGGGTTTGTCACCAATTTTGGGGGTGGGGTGGTCACTGGGGAGTTTTCTTATTCCAGACACATATCCATGTAGTGGTTTAAGTATCCGACAACTTGGCAGAAAATTCATGGCCATCCGACCCATGGGTTTGTCAGCCGCCCGAATCTCTTTGCCAAGAAGCTGCGCAAGCCCCGAGGCTACGAGCTCCGCGCCGTAGATGCCCAGCCTGGCGCTTCGGTGCCGGTTCCGCTTTGGGCGCGGCTTAAAGGCAACCCGGTGTTGCTGTGGTTTCTGAGGGTAGCCTCTTTGGGGTGGCTTTCCCACAAGGGACAAGCAAGATCTATTCTTAAAAGGTTCCCTATTCTTGCACAGAGCAATCAGTTGACCCGATCGGGTCAACAAATGGCGTCTGGTAAGGGAAAAGCAGCAGCTTTTCGGGACAAGTTTGGATCTTTTTGCCCGCCCCCTGTAACTTAAAGGAACCCAAAACCCACAGAGTGTTCCCTGGTGCACCTTGAGCTTGCCATTCGGCAACTCTTTGAAAGTTGCCGAGGAAGCCACCACTCTTGCTTGGGTTCCATGTTCATCTTCGACCTACTCCAGGGCTGCTCCTACTTGAGAGACCCCCAACATCTGCCTTGATTCAGCCGGGCTGCTGGTTGTGACTGAGGTCGAGTCTCTGCAGGGTGCCTAGGTGAAAACCAACGGGAAACAACAATCCATCACTCGCTTCTTGAGAGGGTTGGCAAAAAAAGTAAGTGTCAGCATTTGGTCTATAGGAATCCTACACAGTTCCAGGAGCTCAGGGAGTAAGATTTCATGACCCCTGCAAATTAATGGAAGTAACCAAAGAAGGGGGATCCCCAAGAGAAAGGCCCATGTTGTTTCCACTTTGCTGCGCGTTTGCGCGGGGTAGCTGTTGCGGCGGGGGTTGAGGGGTTTGCTGTTGCGGATGTTGTGGACATCCTTCTTGTTGTTGTTGATGATGA